GAAACAGGCGCGCGTAGCTGCATGACGACACCTCGCCAACAACATCGCAACACTTCCCTAGGGCCGGCCCTAGCTGGACAGTTGCAACGCCGCTGGCAACGGAGCCCGATCCTGAGTGTAAGCGGACCTACACACCTGGTTCAGCTTCCGCTCAAAGACAGAGCTAGGGCACGGAACGTGTCGCTAAAGTAAAGTAGCGGGTGCAGCACAGACAAGACCCATCAGCAGAGGAACGTGCCCCTTCGGCTCCTGGCCTCTCACTGGACTGGTTGCATTGACACTGAGCGGAGCCCGATCCCGTGCGTGGGCGAACCTACGCACCTGGGTCAGCCTCCGCTGAAGCTTGCTGCAGAGGCAGCCGCAGCTGCTAAAGGCAGCACCGAACACAAAACCACGCTGCAGAAGTTACGGGGCCCGATCCCGTGTGTGGGCGAACCTACATACCTGGTTCAGCTTCCGCTGCGATCAGCAGGCAGCTGCACGCGCGCGCACCGAGCTGAGGCCATGCACGCGGTGAGAGACAGCCGAGGGCAGCGACAAGCGACCTGGCCGACAGCAGCGCAATTGTCCTCCTGGTACTTGGCCTCACATGGGACTTGTTGCATTGCCGACGGTATCGGGCCCGATCCCGTGCGTGAGCGGACCTGCGCACATGGTTCAGGCCCGAACTGGGCGAGAGAGGCTAGCCGTCCACTCGCCTGCGTAGGCGGCGCAGGGGCTCAGGGTCACCGATGCTGCCCTGCCCTGCTGGCTGCAGCCCTCGCTTGAGGCGGCCGAGCACCGCCTTCTGCCCGTCGTTCTTGGGCGTCCTCGGACACTCCTTCGCCGGGCCCGACACCTGACATTCTGCGTCTAGTAGCCGCATTTGACGCAGAAGAGGTGATTGCCTGCTCGCCATAAATCGTGGGAGTCGTGCGGATCGAGCCCCCGCCACGGCGGATGCGCGGGTGGAGGCGGGGGCGGCGGCTGCGCCACCGGTGCCGCCCCCGCTTACTCGCGAACCGCCGCGCCCGCGCCGCCGGTGCCAGACGAGGCTCCGCCACCTCCACCGTCGCGCTGATCACCGTCATCTGCTGCTGCACCGTTCTGCGAGCCGCTGGCCTGGCTGGAGAAGAGCCGCGCTCGCTGCGAGGAGGGCCGCGGCCGCGGCGACCGAGCCCGAGGCTCCCTCCAGCCCGAAATCGCCTCGCCCCGACCCGCGCACTCCTGGCAGGCCCAGAGCGTGTCGCTGCCGACCTCGAGCCATGTCCCATGCCTGCCGCACGTCCTCCGCGAGCAGTCGCGAAAGCTGCAGTGGCTCCCCCAGCGCAGCTTGCGCCCCTGCCAGTCGCACCGCACCGCCGCCATGCCTGGCCCCTCGTGGCCGCCCGCGGCAGTCAGCTCCGCGTCGCCCTCCTGCATGGCGGCGCTCAGCCAGCGGAAGACCTTCTTGGCGAGGCGGTCCTGGCGCAGGCTGCGCGCGCGAACCTCGTCGCCCGTGGGATGCATCTCCGCGCCCTGAATGGCGCGAGCGTCCGCGCTGTGGTTGCCCCTGCGCTGCCAGGCGGTGATGCGCTCGGTCTGGGCGCCCGCCAGCGTCGCGTGGGCCTTCGCCTTGCCGACCGTGACGTTGTCGAGGCCGATGTCCTCGAGCGCTTGCCACGAGCGAACCCGTAGCTCTCGGTGGGGCCTCTGCCACTGGAGGCGCCGCGCCTTGCCCGCTGCGAAGCCGTCCGCGAGCAGCTGGCAGTCGGTGTAGATCCTGACTGGCGGGAGGCAGTCCCGTAGCCCTTCGATGGCAGCAGCCAGCTCCGCGGCCCCCGACTCTTGTGGGTGTGGCCAACGGAGCGGGCCGAAGATGCCGAGGGCCTTCGCGTCGCGACTCATGACGACGGCCGCCCGGCCGCCCCTTGCGGAGACCAGGCTGGGGTCCAGGGCGCTGCCGTCAGTAAAGAGGTCGCCAGCAAGTGGTGGGCCCACAGGGTGGCGCGCCCTTTCATGCGCGCCAGGCGCTCCTCCGTGGGCAGATGACGTGAGCGCCTATGTTCGGGCGCCAGGGCCCTCGACCACGGCGGGTCCTCCGTCGCATCTGCGCTGGCCATGTCGACGAGGGCCCCGAAGTGGATGTAGTCGGGCGGCCTCCTCTCGTCTGCGTCGTCATTGGCCTCCCACGCGGAGCGGCCGAGCGCGGTGGCAAGGCGCTGCCGCGCCAGGTGCCGCGCGGCGCCGTGTGCGTTGCACCCGCGAGGGCACCGGAGCGACGACGCCAGCGGCCGCTCCTTTGCGAAGCGGCGCGCCACTGGCCAGAGAGAGCCGACCAGCGCGTTCTTGGCCGAGCTCATCTGCTTGGCCGCTTGCTGGCTCATCCGTTTGCGGTGCAGGGTGCGCCTGATGCTGGACAGGGCTCCCCCTGCGGCCAAGTGCGCCGGGCCAGGATGCCTGCCCGCGCCCCTCCGCAGCAGCCGCTCATGGCTGGCGCCGATGTGCTTGGAGAGGGTCGAAGCGCCCAAGGCTTTCAGGTCGATGAGCTCCTTCAGGTCGTTGGGGGCGAAGCCTGGTCGCAGAGCGTCCCATATCAGGCGGTGGCGTGCCGGCGCGCAGGCCGAGGCGGGGCCCCTGCCTGAAAGGGCCTCAGGCCCCATCCGCAGCCTTTC